AAAAAAAAAAAAAAAAAAAAAAGTGAGGAACGAGTAATTAAGAGTCGCATTTTTTACTGATGAGACGCACCTTCATGAAAACTGGCAGCATGTGAAAATTTGTTTTGCAAAAGGCAAAAATACAAAATTCAAAGTTTTTTCCATGTTAAACACTATAAAGAACTCAGCCTTAATTTAGAAAGAGGATGGGAATCACTGACATTAGCTGCCGGACTGCTGATCCCACACACAGCTGTGCTGACTTGCCGGGAAGGCTCTGGGGTGCCAGGTGTAAGCTGGGGAGTCTCAGCACGGAAAACACACCACTGTGTTAACTGCTGGACACGAACCCCTACCACAGTTTTAAAATTTTCAAGTTGCCTTCCATCTGCGGCATTCAGCCAGCTGCCTTTCAGCCCAAGTGAAGGATTTGAAGCTTATGATTCTAGTGGATTCCACCATACTGACCAAATAACTTCCTGTTTCCCAAAGATAGCGTCAGAAAACGTTTCTAAAGGAGACTTAACTCTGGGTTCCTGTCTTTATCTCTGAGACGGAATTGAACTATTTAGCAAGGTGACAGCATTCCACAGTGAGACTATGTCACTTAGAGAGACTGAGATTGAAGATTTTCAGCACTCGAGTGTCAAATTCATTTTGTCGTCCATATGTCCAAATTATCAAATAGCTTCATGTTTCTCTGGAAACTTCTTTAAGTGTTGACCTTCCCAGGCCATCCAGGCTAGCTGATGCCACATGAGGGACCACAGTCTTCAAAAAGAGACCACGTAAGATTTTCTCCAGAGAGGGACCTGGACTCCATCAAGACTTTGAAAATAAAACTCAGGCCAGGCACGGTGGCTCACACCTGTAATCCTAGCACTTCGGGAGGCTGAGGCAGTGGATCACCTGAGGTCAGGAGTTCGAGACCAGCCTGGCCAACATGATGAAACTGTCTCTACGGAAAATACAAAATTAGCCAGGTGTGGCGGCGTGCACCCGTAATCCCAGCTACTCCTGAGGCAGAATTGCCTGAATCCAGGAGGCAGAGGTTGCAGTAAGCCAAGACCACACCACTGCACTCCAGCCTGGGCAACAGAGCAGGACTGTCTCAAAAAAAAAAAAAAAAAAAAAGAAGAAAGAAAATTCTAAAAGCACATTAATCACTTTTACCAGTTCTCAGCAGTGTGGCATCATTAGTGAGCAGAGGCCACACAGACCCACGTGGGCTGTCCGTCCTCTGGGACTGCTGTGCCTTCGCACCCTGTGAAGACGGGCATGTCTGCGGCAGGAGCCACTCCCTGGAGAGATGCTTGGTGCCTCCGGTCACCATCAGTGAAGCAGGCACGGATGCCCGGAGCTGGCGATGGGAACTGAATGTGAATATAAATGCGCCCCTAGACCCACAGCAGGTCCTCGCTCAGAAGCCTCTGTTCCCATGGTGCCTGGCACCCCCTCCCTGGAAAAGAAGCACCAGGCAGGACTGCCTCCTGCTGCCCAAGGGCACAGCAGGTCAGCCTGCAGTGTCAGGCCAGTCACGCCAGACGCACTGGGCACTGGGGCCAATGAAGCCTGCTGCCCCATTGGGGAGGCCCACAGAGCTCTCAGGTCTTGGGCACCGCTCCTGCCGGCGGCTGTGCAGGACATGCAGGTGGACAGTGGCTGCCTCAGTGTTCGCACTGCCGATCACGCCTCCGTTTCTCATCCACTTCAGAAAGCAGCACGATTGAAACAGACACACAAACACCAAGCAAAACAAAGCTGGTGCTATGGCGTTGACCGTCAGACAGAACAGGCCGGCTCGGTGATGCCGCCTGCCTCACAGGGTCCCTGTGTTGACAAAGGCTCGCTCTACCAGGAGCAAATCCTGGAGGGACCCATATGCATCCAGCCTCGTGTCTTCAGGGCACGCAAAGCCAGGGCTGACACAGCTGGGCATGGTGGCTCGGCCTGGAATCCCAGCACTTTGGGAGGCCGAGGTGAGAGGATGTGCTGAGGCCAGAAGTTCAAGACCAGCCTGGGCAACACAGTGAGACCCAATCTCTCTAAAATTAGCTGGGCATGGTGGCGCACCTGTAATCCGAGCTGCTCAGGAGGCTGAGGCGGGAGGATCCCTGGAGTCCAGGAGGCTGAGGCTGCAGTGCGCTACGCTCATGCCACTGCACTCCAGCCTCGGCGACAGAGGGAGACCCTGTCTCAAAACAAAAAACAAAAACAGATGGCAGCACGTTCCTCTCCTCACACAGCAAAACACAGACGTAAGATTCGAATGACGCAATCAGAGGGTGTGAAAACGCTTTAGATGACCCATGGGCAGAAAATCATATTTTAAATATGAATACAAAATAGTAACAAATACTCAGCTGCTTAATAAGCATAAATATTTTTTGCCTATACAAAACTAAAATCCCACTGAAACTGGCTGCCAGAGGTCAGGGAGGAGCTGAGCCACGCACGGCTCAGCAGCAGGAGCAGGTTCTGACAGATGCTTCGTGGCTGTGGGGATGTCAGGGCTGCCCCCAGCACCCCTGGGCCCTGTGCCAAGCCTGGGGCTGATGGCTGCGGCCTGCACAGCCTGTTGCTGTGCTGGGTCCCGTGGGCACCTCTCACACGGCGGTGGGTGTCTGTGTTAAACTCATCCAAACACGGGGAGGGTATAAGAATTGGGTGTGATTAGCCGGGCGCGGTGGCTCACGCCTGTAATCCCAGCACTTTGGGAGGCCGAGGCGGGTGGATCACGAGGTCAAGAGATCCAGACCATCCAGGTCAACATGGTGAAACACCGTCTCTACTAAAAATACAAAAAATTAGCTGGGCATGGTGGCGTGTGCCTGT